TGGGCTTATTTCTCGTTCTCGTTTCGGCGTGTTCTTCTCTGGTCTTTGATCTGGCGTGCTGGCTCCCTAATTTATCAAGCACGAAACTAAAAAAAAATATGTGATTGCTGCTCGATTGGCTGGTGGGGGTGTGTGGGCAGGCAACTACTGTGGCGCCTACCCCGTGTCGGCCCCGGCCCCTTCTTTATGTTTGTTGGCCATGTATGACAGTGCCATCCGCGACGCCGCCGACCCCCCCCCCCCCGTGCGCGCGCGCCTTGGGCGAGGGAGTACCGTGGCATTGGTGGGTCGGAACAACGCCGCCGCCCCGCCGTTACCATGCCACCGTCCCGAACACACACGTAGACGACCGATTGTGCGATCTACTGATGACTCCCGTTGCCATGCGATCGGTTTGAACACACGAAACACCACTTCTTGGTTTCGAAGCGCCGTTCTGCTGCCTTAAAGACTGTCTGTCAGTCGACCCGACAGACTTGACCGAAACACTGATTATCGTGTTTTCTCGTAAAATTGTGGGATGCCACCTTGGCACCGGAATCAATCGTGGTTTTCTTTCCATTTCCATCATGCGCGCTTTTGTCTCTACAATCTGTTCCGCTCGGAAGCTGGTGTCTCCATTGGCTCTCCTCTAGTGAAACGTAGCTGGTTCCAAGGCAACCCGAACAGTGTGATGGTACTGGATTCCGCACAACAGCAACCACGAGCCTTCCTTGGAGAGCAAAGGCAGCCTCCCCCCCCTCCGTGCTGTTATTTCCCGGGGGTACTGGCGGCCACGAAAAGGCGTGTTCTCGCGCTCTTATTCCGTGCTTCCCGAGACACCACGAACCCTCGATAATTCACTCATCAGTACAACCGCTGTGGTAGATCTTGTGGGCACAAAACTCCGAAGTCTTCAAGCACTCACCACTACAACTAACTGCGCAAGCTTGTAGGCACGAAACCCGTCTCCGCCTTACCCGTCAGAAGACGTCTTGCAGGCGACTCCATCCCGGCCGCAGCCACTCGAAGGAGGGTCTACGGAAGATACCGCTCATTCAAGGCAGAAAACGTTACAGCACTAAAAAACTATTTTCTCGCAACACGTCAAAATCGCAAATCAGGATCGACGCACCTACGAACGGTAGGCTAAATAACTAGGCTAGCACTTAAGACGCCAAGTTGCTGGCATGCTTTCGGGCTGCGCACACACCCATCGTTCGTTGTTGGCGGGCAAACATGCACCCCTTGGGGCGCCTCACGCAAGCACGTACCGTGGAGAATTAAGTAACCCCACCTGGCGAGGAAACAACAGGCTAAATGATGATGGTTGTCACGGCCACACTACAGAGAACCTCGCCACCCTCTTGGCAGGCAAATCTAGACCGCATGCCTCTTGCGCGGCGAAAACAACGACGGCAGACCGACAGACTCTCAAGCATCTGTTTCGGCCACCGCGCCGGTCTCGAGTCGCCACGCCGACGGGTCCCACTCGCCCAGAGACCCCAGCAGCAAGTCCGCCCCGGCCTCCAAGAACGGCGCCTTGTCTAACCTAGGGTCGGGGACGGCGACGACGAGCATGCCCGCGGCCTTGGCTGACCGAACGCCGGACAATGCGTCCTCAAAGGCGAGGCACTCTTGGGGCTTGATCCCCATGCGCCTCGCGGCGGCGAGGTAGATGTCCGGGGCGGGTTTGCCCTCGATGACCTGGGGGGCGGGGGAACGGCGCCGCGTCCGTGCGGATTGAGTGAAGGGTGCGGTGGGATGTGTGTGGGGTGATGTCGACGTTGTTGGTGGCCGGCATTGCTACACATACGCCACGCAATCGTCTAAAACTGAGAGCGCGTAAATACTGAGAGCGCCTAAAACCGAAAGCGCGACTACACGGCGAGATAAAACCGGCTTGCCCTCGATGACCTGTCGGTCAGGTTAGGGAGGGGGGGCATACTCGTGTCGTGTAAACGCTTGCCGTAATCGTTAGACTATTGGGCTAGCTTCCCTACAATGCCGGGACGGAGGAGCGGTTTTCCGGGGTGTCGCCGAGGCCCAGGCTGTGGATAGCGCTAGTTCGTGTGTACACAGAGGGAAGGGAGTGCTGAACTCTTCTCGCATTAAAAATCGAAGGCAAAGTACCGCATGAGGGGAGGGTAGAGAGGGGCTCTTCTGTGTGGCCACGGGTTGGAGTAAACGGCACTGGTGCTGTGAGCGCTGATTTGAAGTGAAGACAAAAAAAAAAAAAAAAAAGGCTTACGTTTCACAAGGATGAAACAGAAGCTGGTAGTGTCAGCATCCTTGCGTTTGCTGTGCCAAACTAGTTGAGAGTGAAGGGGAAGGGCGCCCGGGCGTGAGTGAAGGGCCTTGTGGCTGGCGATAATACGCAACTAACATTGAGGGAAACTGATGAGGGCGACTCAACGAACCAACGTGACGACGCTCATGTAAAGACGAGCGGCATGACGAAAACTAGAAGGCGAGATCAAACCAGCTTCACAGCTTGTGATTTTTTGCGATGATTGATTCTCAAAGTGTATACTCTTTTACATGTTGGCCTGAGACCACGGAAAGCGTCCGCGTCCCTCCGGACCGAGATTTGGATAGTTTAACGATGTTCAGACCACAAGCACACTTTGTGACTCCACAACCTCGTTCCGGAGTATACTTTTGCGGGAAAACGTCGGACAAATCAAGTTGTTGCAAGTTGGGGTAAACAGACAACAAAACCACCACCACCAACAATAATAGCAACAACAATAGCAACAACAACAATAACAACAATAACAACAACAACAACCAAACCACCACCACCAACAAATTTCCCCGCTGTACAATCACCTCGGGGTCGTCGCCGGTGACCACGCACTCCATCCGCTCGAAAAGCCCCTCGTGGTTCTGCCTCTTGATGCTGACCGCTGCTTTCGAGCTCGAGGTTGCGATACCCTGAAAAAGGACCCGCAGGATGGGCGGAGCGCATCGTGATGGACGCGGGTCAGTTTAGCCATGGAGGTTGGGCAGAAATATTTCGGCGTGATAGTGAAAAACGACGTCACCCGCGACAAACTGTGTGTGTCTATCATCTGAGCAACAGCGGCAACGGTAATTTTCTCCTTTAATCTTTCGCTTTGGATCGTTCGCGTTCGGTACAACTGGGGGGGGTTACCCGGAGCGGGCCCCATCGAAGCGTTCTATCGTATGACCGCTTGTCGGCGGCGATGAAAACAACGCGGGACTGAGGTTCCCTATCGGCCGCCACTCGCATGGTCTGTGACACTTGTAATGGGTTCAGCAGACGAGATCAAGACTCATAGACAACGGCGGCTGGAGGGAGAGTGCCACAACACAGCGAGCACTCCCAGAGAGCCGAGCCCCGTGGATCACTTCAATACACCAGTCCCGCTTGGTATATCCAGATCCACCCATGCACACACACACGAGCATGGCCTTCCTATCATCACCTGGGGAACACCCATGTCCTTGAGGCGCTTTGTCACGGTCTCGGCTCCGTCGCACTTCTTGACCTGAGGGCTCAGCTCGTGCAGGTTGTGCTCCCACTGCGCTCCTAGGTCCTCCCAGGACAGCTGACCCTCCAACCCTAGCTCTGAAGGGTCACGTAGATAGTCGAGGTTGGAAGTGTGTTTCGAGACGTTGTCGTTGATCGCAAGCATTAGACTACGCATAGCGGTCCCAGCGCCACACGCGGGACAGAAAGAACAACACGGTGGTACTATCGCTTAAACAGGATTGAACCCCGTACTTGAGACAGAGAAACAACACGGTACAACGCTAGTTTTCGCTTTCGTAGCTTGGAGTGCACACCGAGTGGAAAGGAGCATGCGTGTGCGCGACGAAGGCGTGTGGGAAGGTACAAGGCTCGCGTTGACATCCTTGCGTGTAACAGATTTTGCCGAAATCGTTCCCTTACGCTGCTCTTTCACTTCCCGGCGCCGGTGGCACACAGCAAGAGCACAGCGAACCGTTGACTTGCACTGAGAAACCCGCGGTGATATGGGGGGGGGGGGGTTCAATTCGCCGGCGCCCCCAATCTCCAAGCACGCCAGCATGCATCCCAGGCCATACTTCTGGGTGTTGGCAAGCCTACATCGGAGGACATACGATGCGCTCAAATACAGGGTACCACCAATACCCAGGGACACCTCTGTCTTGCCCTGTGAAACATGCGACCGTGCATTAGCTACCGCACATACATACATACCATACGGTATCCATGCCGGCGTGACGTAGTATACCACACCCCCCGGATTGGTTTTCGAAGCTCGACTGCTCCACAGTGAATTGGACGTGGGAATCAAACGATACGTTTTTTCGGAAAGCTCTCGGCGAAGCGTTCCCAACGCCATTGTTTTTCGGTCCGAATTTTTTCTTCTGTTGTGGGGTAATCGAGCTTTGAAAATCAGCCCAGAAACGGGTGTGGTGTCTGTCAGTTACGGCGCGTGCGGTACATACGTGTAACTAACTGCAGCATCAGCCTACCGCAACTACCGATGCTTCAGGCACGCACATGTTTCCTCACCAGCGATCACAATTGGCGCCCACGACTCCTTTCGCAGACCGAGGATCTTCTGCTTGACTTCCCACGTGAACTGCTTGCCGAACTTCCCGACGCTCTGCTGCAGCGACTGGGACGAGAGCTCCTCTGTGTCGAGCAGCGTGCCTGTGCGACAGCAACAGCAGTCAACAGCAGCAGTCAACAGCAGCAGTCAACACATGCTTCATCACAACGGCAGCGTTTACGACTCAACGCAGGCGAGACTACACGAAAAGAACAATCGTGTGGGAACGACGACTGCGAAACCCGTGCAAAGTACACGCACGAGATGTCGGATTCAACCCCCCAGGATCTGTCGACGAAAAGGCGAGAGGCGCAAAAGACATGTGAGTCGTCCTGGTAAGCGGCGGAACTGGTTCAAAATGTGGCATTTCGGCAGGACGTATCGGAGCTCACCGTCTAGGTCAAATACCACCCCGCGAATCGGTTTGTCACTGAAGGCGGCCATTTCGCTTGCGGCACACGCACGATCTCTCGACACTCTCCGGTGCAGTGGTTTTGGTGTAGCACTGGAGGACGGACGCTGACACGCTGACGAGTCAGACAGGGTCAGCTGGACAGGTGGACAGGGTAGACGATTAGACCGCATGTCGCTGGTTTGGTTTGGTTCGGAAAACCGTTCGCATATGCGGCACCAGCTGTGCGGCTGTGCGGCACAGCAGTGCCGACAATGGTTCCCGGCCTTACCACGAGTGACGAGAGTGACTAAGCTGCCGCATAGGGTTCAGACTAGTGCTGCGCCGGCGTCTGAGCCCCCTACTTCATTTCGCCATTTTCCACTGCACTTGTATAGGAAGTTTCATGTGCGAGCACCTCTACGGTGAACAGAAAACTGCGGCGGTTTGAGGCGGTTTGGTAAATACAGATGGCGCCCGCACTTAAGAACCTACCTGTTAAGAACATGAGGCTCAAAAAATCCAAAACTCATGAACATGAGCGTATTTTAGTGGTCCCCGTTAAGAACCTCACACTAAAACCTATATAATGGCCATTCGCAGCCTCAACAGGCAACTAAGAACCCCAGCCTCACGCAAATTAAGATGTTCTTAAGTGCGGGCGCCATCTGTACTGCAAAACACTCATCCCCACCCACGCTCGAAGCACTGGAGGAGAAAAAGACCTTCTGGCTCATCATAAGACGTAAAACCGGCCCGAACCGTCTCTACCCCCTCCCCCGCCACCCCCCTCGTTACACCCGGCAATGTCGTCTGCGCGGGGTGTTCTCTGTTCATCTTGTGGCACGCTAAATCGCCATCACTCGAGCCGATACTTGTATATCGGTCGCGGGTTTCCCGGCATCCACATGCTAATCGTGTTTGGTTCTACGTTTCTCAGCACTCAACACCAGAGACCGAAATTCATTTCTCAGACTGGTGTGGAATGAGCCCATCATCCATTGGTAGTGGATGCCAAAGACAATGTGATGGCTGAAGGTATGCGGCGGCTGCACCGTCGACAACGGTCACATTTTCGCACGCAGCCAAACAACGGGGGACTGGATGTGTGTGCGGCAAAAAGCAGAGGCAAGACTCGCGCCAGCGAAACCCACGATACAACAGTACATTTCCCTCCCAATGTTCTCGTCAACCTTCGTAGAGCATAGACTTGTGCATGTTCTTGTAATCAGTCCTACAACAGGCGACAGGTACGTGATGCATGTTGAAACTTTTTGTTGTTGCTGTGGTCTCGCGTTCTTCGCAACGAGGAACTCACGAACCACAAGGAAGAGATTGCGAGACGAAAAAAAAAATGGTTCAGATTAGGTGGTTGTGAAGATGCGCGCATGCCACAGCAGCGTGCACGAAACGTTTCGATACCACTGTGTTTACCATCCCCGCCTCTCTCACAACTAGGACAACGACATTTGTTACAGCTACTACCGGCGCAAAACCAAGCACTCTTGAAAGACAACGGAGGCGTGCAGCAACGGCATCTCTGCAGACGCCCGCACTCGAAACAAGACAACAAAAACAAGCCCAGCACATCCACTCCACCGTCACCGTCAAGATCAAACAGATCCCTTCGAACCGGGTACCATACTGTATGCCGATCGGGTACCATGTGTGTTCTAAAAAAGTGAAACTACTCCAGTGGCATATCGACCCCGCCGCGAAACGACCTTTACAAAGCCTACAACGTTAACCCCCTCTACACAAAGAACTCTTCGTCCTTGGGATTTCCCTTCCGGGGGGGGGGGGGGGGGCCAAAACCCAAAAAAATTCCAAAAAATGTTCCAAAACCCAGGGCCGGCTACCCCCCAAAATTCAAAAGGGCAAAAAATCCCAACCCCGGGCCCCCCCCAAAATTTGGCCCTTTAATTTCCCCCGGGGGCGGCGGGGGGGGGGCCCCCCCAAAAAAAAAAAACAAAAAACCCCCCCCCCCGAAAAATTCACCCTTCTGAAGGGAAAAATTTTTTACTTAAAAATGCCCCCAAAACCCTGGGCATTTCAAGGGGACCCGGAAAAGGCCAAAACCAAAAAAAAAACCCCGGGGCTTTGTCGGCACCCGGGAAAAAACCCCCCGGGACCCCATAGGCGGGACCCCCCCCAAAACCCAAAT